GTGCGCAGGAGCATCGCGGGCACCGTTGTTGTCGGCGTGCTGATGGAGGTGGTTCTGCGCCTCCAGCATGGGGCTTCGGCGAGGCTGGGAACCGAGCGATGGCAGCAGCGGGACGGAGCTGCGCGTCGCCGCGCTGCGTGCAGGACCGTCAACAACGGCGTTCGTGCTGCCGCTGCTGCCGTCTTGAGGTTTGTTCCCTGAAGAGGCAGGGATGGAGGAAGAAGACACGCGGACGCTGTGCTCCTCCGCCTTCGCGTTTTTCTTGAGGGTAGGCCCGCTGCCAAGAAAGGCGTCGGTGTCGTACACACCACTGGCTGCGTGTACGTGCGTCTGCTGTCCTTTACGCAGCGGGGCCGCGGCCATCCCCTCTCCATCAACTTTGTGGGGAGATTTACTGCGCCGCTGCCTCTCCTGAGAGCGTCTCGGGCCGCCCCCCGCCCCTGCTGCTGCGGTGCCGCGCCGGGTGGGGCTCCGCAGCTCGCCTAGCACATGACCCGATCTGATCTCCTGCAAGCCCGCTTGTCCACGCACTGGCGACGGGACCCGCGGCGGCTCCCCCGTGTGGCGTCGCCCCACCGCGACCCCGCTGCTCGCCGAGGGGCGCGGGGCAAACGGTGGCTGGCCGGAGCCCCGCGCACGGCCCGGCATCTCTGTGTTGCCGGTGCTGTCGTGCGACGACGAATGGCTCGAGCGCTTCGACCCCGTGGCGGCCCCACGCCCGCGGCCACGCACGCTGCCACCACTTACTGTACCGGCACCGGCACCGAAACCCGCGCCGCTGTGCCGCGAGGTGGAATTGGAGAAGGACGAGCGCGTGGAGGAGACGAAGGCGTCCGCCTCGAAGAGGAGCTCCTCCAATTCCTGCGGGCCGCCCAGCACGGCCGGCTCCACTTGCGGACGCTCTTGCTGAACCAGGTGCTCGATGCGTTCGTCTGCGATGGTGAGAAGATCTTTACTCCCGGGCGACGCATCCGCGGCGAGGACGCGCAGCACAGAGCACAACGCTCGCGCCATCTTGCGGCTCGGCGAGTCACCGATGGCGACGTAGTCGACGGCAACCGGCGCCAGCAGGGGAAGCAGTTCCCGCACACGCTCTTGGCGTTGCGCGTGCGCAGCGGTCACGCACAGGGAGAGGTAGCCGAGACACTTACGGCGCAGCTCCGTTTGGGTGCCGTTGGACAGCACCTCCAGTAGCTTCTTCACTACACAGATGTGCCCGTGGCTCTGGATGACGACAGCGCGAAGGGCCACATCGGCCGCCGCGGAGATGGCAGCGACGGTCACGTACGTGCCCTTTGCCAGGCTCGTCGTCCACTGAGCGAGGGCGCCGCTGAAGGTCTCTGAGTTGGCGCTGCACGTCCCGCGATCGACATCATCGAGAAACACCGGCTCGGGAGAGAGGCGCTGCATCAGAACAGTGATGACCTCACACCCAACCCGGCAGAGAGCAGACCGCTTCTCCGAGGCCAGCAGCGTCAGCGTCGACGACACGGTCGCCACGATACGCTCCGCGTGCTCGGCGAAGTACTCTACTGGCACCGCTGTCACCCAGTCCAGCACCACCTGCGCTGCCTTGAGGCGGCGTGCGGCGCTCCCGCTCACGGTGGACTTCTCGCTCGCCAGCCCGCACTGCGTCTTCAGCTGCTGCGGAAACGAAGAAAGCGGATCCGGCAGCGGCGTCGGCTCGCGGGCGTCCGCACCGCCCTCGTCAAAGACGGCGAGCATCGTCATGCCCGAGCCGCGCATCGTGCTGCTGTTCATAGTCTGCGTCAAGGACAATGGGTCCGACTCGCTGAGCAGCGCCGTCAACGAGGCGGGGTCTTCAGCCATGTAAAACTGGAAGATCCTCTCGGGGTTGTGGTGGGCACAGCGGTCAATGTAGTTCAGGTACTCCACCGCCTCGCACACACTCGCCTCCGCCGTCTTGAGGTCATTGCCGTCCTCGACCTTAACGCGCAGAGTGGTGCGCAGGTCCCGGCTCAGTCCTACGTACACCATAAGCTCTGAGTTGGGCACCTCCTTGCGCAGCGTCGACGCGAGTTCGATGGCGTTAGAGCGGGCGAGCACCTTCGCCTGGTGCATGGGGACGGAGCCGTCCTGGTGCTGGCGGTCGAAGTTGACGGTGCCACCGACGCTAATGTACATGAAGGCCTGGAAGACGGTCTCCGGCTCCATGTTGAACTGACCCGCTATTTTCCGCAGCGATTCGAAGTAGTTTTTGTAGTTGCGCATGATGTCCATCAGCTGCACGAGGCCTTGTGGGTTTTTGGGTGGGTGCCGCACCGAGGTGTGCAGCTCCATCTGCCGCGTCAGAAGAGTATCAACGTCCATCTCGCCGCTCTCTGCGGCAGCGGCGCTGAGTTTTCTGCTGTTGCTCTCGTTTGTGTGCATTTGCATGTGTCTATGGGTCGTAGCGTACGACTTTGCTTTCTTCTTCGGTTTCGGTAACTCTGCCACGCAGCACCACAACGAAGTCAGCGCGGGTACGTGACTGGTATGAGACAACGTCCGCTGGTCTTTTTTTGTCTCACCTCGTGTGAGATCTCTAACCTGCAAAAAAAAAAAATGTGGGTTTGTACGTGTGTGTGTTCGGTGTCTATATATATTTATTGTTTTGTAATGTCTAGAGGGGCTACATGCTTCTGCGCTATCTTATTGGAGAAAAAAAAGAATCAGTCGGTGCACAGCCGAGGTTGACGAAGTGAACAGCAAGACAAAACGCATTGGAGGAGCAAAACAGTTGTCACGAGGTATGCAAAGCGAATTCTTGGAGCAGGTGCTATGCCGCGGTGCGCGTGTGCGCTTCTACACGCAACCGGCGGCGTTGAGAGCAGAGTACGCAACACACACCTGTGTACAGTTTCTCACCCTACTGAAGGGGTTTCCCATCTTCTATACCACCAACCCTGTCATCTATTGGTTAAAAACCTCAAAAAAAAAAAATGGAAAGACAGCAGTCGTTTGGGGGTTTGGGAAGCATAACAGTTTAAGACAACCCAAGACCCGCTGCTCAGCAGACGCACAACACTTACGCCGCGCATTCGTAAGACAAACTCACCCACGCAAAAAAAAAACTTGTTCATCACACATCTTCTTCTAATAGCAAGACAGCTGCCCACGCGTCGCCGCCGTTTGTCAGGAACGATGCGTCGTCTGTATCACGGGGAAACGCGGTCAGCTCCATGGGACCACAATGGAACACTGGGTTATCCGCCTTTTGCTGCGAAGAGACGGGGGCGCCACACAATGCGTGTAAAGGTGGCAGATAGGTTCGCTCCAGCTCATCTGTGGAAACAGACGGGGGGAAGTCGCACGTCTGCGGGAAGACGCGGCCTCGCATCTGCGCTCGTCGAAACGCCTCTGTCATGACCGCATCAAATGGCACCTGCATGGTGTCACCTATGATGTTGTGTTTTATGATGTGTGTGTGTGCGTGTGCGTTTGAGTGTCTGTAGAACTCAAAACGTCAAGGCTGAAGCTGGACGAATTCTGTCCCCGGACTACGCATTTCTTTATCTAGTTTAGGGAGGTAAAAGAGTGACGTATTTCCCAGTTTTCCCGTTTCTCACGATTGTTTTAGAAGACGACGCTCGGAAACCCATAAAACACGCCAGCTGCACCGTTGATACACCTCGCCTGGCGTTGAAACAGAACGAAAATATCAGGAGACAAAAACAAAAATGGAGAGGAAAAAAGCAAAGTGAAGAAGCGCACAATAAGAGAGAAGAAGAATTGTCTCGCGGACAACGCCTTTATTTGTTTTATATACTTTTTTAATGAGGAGCCCTTCGAATCAACAGAACTCGTAACGCCCTTCGCCGAGGGTGAAGAAGACAACGTTGCGCCAAACACTTCCAACGAGGAGTCACAGAAATAGCTTCTTAATGCCGTGTGCGGCCGACACCAACGCCGAGTGAGCACCTCTGCTGCGTTACACCCTATTTACAAATGAAAAGGTTTCTTCTTGTACTTGCGTAAGCTTCGAAATAGTCTTGATTGAAGAGAATTGGAAAGGACAATGCTGCTTTGAAGTCGTTGTACATTCTCAACGCACTTCATAAACTTCCTTCCTCCAACAACACAAGAAACAGGTGATTGACTAGTTTACATAGAGAAAGAGGCGGCGGCGCTGGATAACAGGGGCGAACAAAAACGACATCAGATTGAAGTACCTCACACCGCAGTCGATGGTATCGCCTCCCCTTCGCCTCCTGCGGAAGGCTGAGAGGTGCCCTGCGGTTCTTCGTCGCCGGGGGCGGCAACGGGCACCGCCACCGTCGTCGTCATCGCCTCCGATACATCTTCCCAGATCGGCTCGCCTTCTTCTGTTTTCCCCTTCGAATACACCACCCACAGCTCCGTGCCGTCATCGCACACGCCCGCGTTGTACAGTGTCGACTCGTCATCGAGGCGTTGATTGCCGATGTAGAGACACATGGTGTAGAAGGTACGACTGGTGAGCTTCTCGATGCGCTCCTTGATCGCCTGCACCGTGTCGTGCTGGAAGTCGCAGTAGAGAAAGATGGTACGGCGATGCCGCTTGAGGCGCAGATAGTTGGCCGGCACCACCGCCCCTCCGGTGCTTCCGGCCGGGCCGCCGTTAGTGGCGTAGGATGACGACATGAATAGAGGACAGAAGTTGGGTTCACCCACGGAGCAGTTCAGTAACTTTCTCTATTTCTTATAAAAGAAAAAACTGCGTTGTTGTTTTTGACTCGGAGAGTAAATGTTAATGCACGTGGTTTGCGGTGGAGTGATTGCTGTGAAAGACAGACATAACAGAAACAAAGAAAAAGTGAGGAATGCGATGCATCGCCGTGATAGTAGCCAGTAATGAAATAGAAGAGAACAAGGACTGTCTGATGCGCAAAGCTGAGCTATACTGATGCGCAACAACGTCATCTCAAATAAGGCGCACGCCGCAGCATCATCCGCTGAAGTACGGTGCTCTTCACTGCCGCTTCTCTCACGTGTGAAGGAAGAGGAAACAAACGGGATCATTAAACACGCCTGCGCGAAATAAGAGATGACTCGCGCAGGTGGCGCAAGAGATACCGCGAGTGCGCAGAATGTAAAAGCAAAAACCTCATCATAGCGACAAGCGCCCATCGTCTGTTGCAGCAGCCTTCGAGATAACCTTAGTCGGCCGTTTCATACTCTGTGTGTAAGTGTCACTGCGTGACTTTTCTCTTCAACTGTGAAACGGACAGTGACTCCTCGAAAGGAAAACAACAGATTGGTCCCATCAATGACGTGGTCCACCCCGGCAGACATAGCGCAAGCAACGATGAGAGAAAGCTGCATTTCATGTGAAAGGAGAAACAAACAAAAAACGAAGATCTCTTTCTTCTCCCCTTTAGGCAGCTTCAGTCCAACAGCGTACCTCTCTTTTTGCGTCCCCTCAACGCATAGCAAACCGTGTCCCACGTCTCTTCCTCCGTCCCCACTCACTGACCGAACTCCTTCGCACGGACGTATTTGGCATAGTTCTTGTCAGCGTCCCGCATCATGCGGTTGGCCTGGATGCCGCGCCTGCGGTACGGGTTACCGGAATCCATCACCACGCGGTTCACGCCTTGCTGCACCTCGCCCTCACGGCCAATTGGAGCGTTCAGCTCGTATTGAAAATCGCGGTGTACTTGATGAATCGTGGGCGAGTAGCGCAGCAGCTCCTCCGGCGTCGGCGCGTTCGTGAGCGTCTGCGCGCGTCGCTTCCAGTGCCCACGCATGGTGTGGATGCGGCCGGCAAAGTCGCGCATGTTGAAGAACTTCTTGTCTATCAGCTCCTTGCGCCGCTGCAGCACACGCATCACCCCGTCCCGGTCGTTCTTGCCGTCGTAAAAGGCCTCCGCTCGAGCCAGGCACTGATCTGCCAGCGCGAAGACACGGTCGACGTCGAACGGCGAGAAGTAGAGGAACTTCTCCTCGAAGTTGAGGTTGAAGCGACGGCCGAGTCGAGGCAGAAGGCGCAGCATCTTGTGCGACTGCCCGGCGTTGTGGAAGGTGTCCACCAGCGTGACGGCTTCCTCGTAGATGCCGCCCGCCGCCGCATCGCCCATCGCCTCCGTCGTCAGGGCGAGCTCGAACAGGGCCTCCACGATGAGCTCCAGAGACGGCTGTGGGGCGTTGTCCAGCATCTGCAGGGCCGCCTCACAACTCGCCTTGCTGCTTTCGAAACGGCCGGTGCGGCGGAAGGCCCCGGCAAGCTTGATGCGGATGCCCGCCACCTGCGGGTGGTCTTTTGGGTAGGCCATCTCGTAGGCCCGCGTCACGACGCCGTAGTACTCCAGCGCCTCCTGATGCAGCCCGCCCTCGGTGAGGTAGTCCGCCTGCAACTCCAGCTTCGCCACCTCACCCAAAGGGACGTACGGGCGCTTCGGGGCCAGCCCGTCCCCGGCTGCCACGGCGCTCGGCTGCGCGTTGACGTGGACGAGATCGGTGCTGTCGACGTCGTCCCACGAGACGCTCTCCGGCGTGGTGGCCCTGCCGCCCGCCGCCTGGTCCGCCGGAGAGGAGACAGCCGCAGTACTCCACGGCTGGCCTTTTCGTGCGGCCGCTAACAACACCCCACGCGGCAAGCGCTCCAGCGGACGCACCAGCTGGCTTGGAAAGAGTTCACCCTTGTAGTACGACGTGTACAAGCGGGTAATATGGCGCCGCTGGCATTGCAGTACACCCACCGAGTCCGCCGTCTCTCCGCACCTCTTTAACGCGATGCGCATGCTTCTTGGCGAAAGAAAGATGTCCTTTTTCGCCTCACCTCGCTACAGCTAATGTACGAAAGCGCAAATGGCAGACACCGATACAGAGACGCCCACGACGCCGTGCCAAGCACAAGCTTCCTTCTTTGCTTTTCTCTTGGAAGCTCTTTCTATGCGCTCCGTCTACTACTCTCTTCCTTACTCCTCAATGCGAATACAAGAAAAGAGTTGTGAACACAGAACAACCCTCCAAAAAGGCGGTGAAGAAGGGAAAGCAGACGGGAGAGGCAACATCAAACCTGATAGGCGATAAAAGTGGATTCAAGGCAAAAATGTCAGCAGCTTCTTTCATAAATAGCGAGAGCTGTCGAGCCGCCAGTTTCATCGGGCCAGTAGTTGTTTTCTACTCCGTGTTTTGGGGGTCACTAGGTGACATACTTTGCATGAAGAGAAACACCGTTGCTTCGGCTGTGTGAACTCTGGCAGTCTTGTTATCAAACCCATTCTCAATAAGTGGATGTTCGTAGCTTCTCTTTCTTCTTCTCGTTCTTTTTTACTATTAAACAGGAGTACATGTTGCTATAAAGGTCCGTAAAACTGTCGCTTTCACACTTCCTCTTCTCCCCTTTAAGAAAAAAAAAATGCGGACATTAGAAGCGAAGCGCCAACGGAGAAAAAAGAACTAAGGAGCAACAGTGGCGAAGCGGCCAAGTTATGAATGATTCCAAACGGCAGAACCCACAAAGAAAAAAAAGAGATCAGCATTCACACACATGAGTTTTGGGGGTGTAAAGATAGTAGTAGAAACAACGCGCAGATACAACAAAAAGAAATCGCTGACGCGTACAAATGAAAATACAGTTGAAGGGTGGTTTTGTGTTTCGTCCTCTCTACGCGTAGGGGTCGTCCATGCCGTGAACACAATCGTAGCCGTCCGCGCGGCGATGCGACATCCCCAGTCCGCGCGACGCCGCCAGCTGTACCCCACGCGCGCCCGCGGCTATCGTCTCCGCACACGGCACAATCTCCATCACATCGCGCTTGCCCAGCACGTGGTAGTTGTACACCGCCTGCGCCGCCTGCCACATGACGAAGCAAGCCAAAGCGATCAGCACGCAGCGTCGCAGCAGGCTCATGGGGGCGGAAGAGGGGGCGGCGGTGGTGGCGGGGACGACTCCCCCCGGCGGCCCCGGCACGTTCGGCGCGCCGCCACCCCCGGGTTGCGCGGTTGTGGCTGGCGCAACGGTGCCGCCCTGCACGTTTGCGTAGGCGACCGTCACCTCGGTAAAGCAGTAAGAGTTCCCGAGGTCGTTGGGCGTTGGACTGAACGAAAAGGAAATGCTGTCGCCGGTGCTGGGCTGGATGATGTCATTCGGCGAGTGCTCCTGCAACACACCGTTCTTGTCGGCTACCTTATACGGCTGGTCAACATGACCGTCGGATATAATGCTGATGGTCGCCGCGTTTTGGTCGCGGGGCAGGGTCGTCTTGAAGTACATCGTGACGGCTGTCGTGGTGCCGGCCAGGCGGTGCGGCACTGGGGCAATGAAATTGTTCGTCGGACTCACCGCGATGTGGCAGAGCGGCCTATTCGCGAAGAAGCTAAAGAAGCGGAACGGGACCGGGCCCCCTGGTCGCACGCGAATGACGCGCACTTCAATATCCGTCCCTGCCGCCACGCTCGTCAGTTCGAGGAGGCCGTTGTTGTCAGACATGCGGGAGACCAGCGGCCCCTCTGGCAGGTTGAAGGTGGCGTTGAGGTACACCCAGTGCTCAAACATTCCGCCGAGGACAGCCGGAAACGCACGCGCAATCAAAATAATCGCCTCGCCGGCCGCCGGCGCGGTCTCTACGGGGATGGAGAAGTGGTCGTTGAACTCGCCTGCAAAGCCGTGCTTCTCGCTGCAGAGAGGCGTTTCCGTGACCTCCGCCACGGCGACGGAGAAGAGCACCGTGGAAATCAAAAAGAGCGACACGGCAAAGATTGGGCGGCGGTGTCGCCACCCACAACCCGCTTTAGCGAAATAAGAAGACATTAGAACGTCGACTGCGATGTTTGCGCTCTATTGGCTTAGAGTATGTATAGATAAAGGCGTTAAATCAATAACTCACTTGTCACAGCAGACGAACCCGCGAAAAGAAATGAAGGAAACCGCTGTGTGGGAAAGTGGGTGGTGCCCTTGCTTAAAAATATGATGATTGGCGATTTGGCTCAATGGCAGTAGTTAAGACAAGACCTCACCACGGTGCGTGGGCACATTTACGCGAAGAGGCAGGAAAGAGGAAGGTCAACGCAGCGGCCAGAACCTCGGGCTCAGCTTTCTGGGGAAAACTTTTTGGGGCCGGACAACAGTGGAAGATAAGCAGAAGATAGGGTTGCAATTACGAGTTGCAGCTTCACAGAAGAAAAAAAAGAAAGGAGAAGAGGGGAAGGTAAAATAAAATTGTTCATCATTATGGGTGCGGAAGCCGATCTACACACGGTGACACGACTTCCTCCACCCACACAGAGCGAAAGAGAGGGGAGCGTTAGCTTCGTCGGAGTCGCTGACGGCTGACGACGCACTTTTTTACGCACCTAAAGAAAAAAAAACGCTGCCGATACGCCGTAACCGTCCATCACAGAGCGCTCATCATCACCGCACGGTACAAGCACCTCACGAAAACACTGAGGATCAAAAAAAAATTGATGGAGACACACTACTTTCATTTATTCTTATTATTATTATTGCTAGCGCGTTTGTGTGCACGCCTGCGTAAACGCGTGCAATTAACACGAGGCGATAGCTGCGTTTGTGCACATAACTCTACAAGTGCAAAAAAGAAAGGAGTGAGTAGTCAAAAATAGAAAGAAGAGGCTCACGCTGGAGAACAAAAAAAATAGCCTTTATTGCACTACAGAACCGTAGGTGGATTTAAATACAGATAAAAAATTGAGACACCAGACAAAAAAAAAGAGCGCGTGTGACGTCGACGCTCTGCGCGCTACACACACGTGCCGGCAATATTCGTGCAACCCGTCCGCATGGTTCTTGTTGTCCCGACTAGAAATAAAATGGGTAAAAATTGAATTCAGTATTTAGAAAGTATGACTGAGTGGACGACGTCACAAGCGCGATGAGACCAGAACAGCTCTCTGCTTTCGCGATGGCGCGAGTACCACCGCCGACAACCGTAGTATCTTTTCTATCCATCTTTTTTCTCTTCTTTTCATAGCGTCAGGCAAGGGAGGGGGCGTAGAACTGTCGCTTTAGTTGTACGCAGACGTGTGCAAACACCTCCCTCCCTGCACATCTCATACCGAAATTAAAGAACATCGAAAGGGTTTATAAAACAAGGGACAAACGGATGTGGGACGATGACTTCCTTCCTCCTTCCAGGTCTGCGTGCAACGGCGGACACACTGCGATGCCATCTGCGAATGCGCTGGCCTTGTCTCGGTGAGGAAATCTAGTTTGCCAAGCCTTCTTTTTCTCATTTTGCGACCCTTTAGGTTTTGCGTTTCCAATCTCGTATGAACGTGCTCACCACCGCTTCCCTTCCCGCTGATGGAACAGCCCTACACGGCAATTACACGCACCTCGTGACGGCTGATGTTTGAAGTCGGAGAGATGGGCCGCGATTCTGTTCGAGTCGTAGGGCTGCGCGGGGTGGGAGGGTCCATCTTTGTATACGAATACCCGGCCAGGCCCACCAACGTAAGAAAGATGCCGACCACTTTCTGCGGCGACACATCGGCGGAGACAAAGATGAAGTCAAGAAAAAACACAAGCGACGTCTTCAAGTAGCCGACGACGTTCACCGTGAGCGGCGACGTCTTGCCTACAAAGAGAAAGAAGGAGAAGTTGACACCGAAAGCGAACACGCAGGACAGCAGCACCGTCCAGACAGTGGTGAAGCTCACGGAGTAGGCAGCTAGGTTATCGTACCCGTCTAATGGAACGGCCGCGAAGAGCAGCATGGCGGCGCTGATGGGTGCCTGGTAGATAAGCAGCTGCATCGGCTGCGCGTTGAGCTCTTGCTGCTTCGTCTTGCCCCAAATCGTGTAGAGCGAGTTCGCAATAATCGCGAGGCCCGCCCACATGGTGCCAACAAAGTTCACGTCGGAATCGGAGTAGAAGGTGACGCCGACGCCGAGGCATACCGGGATAAGGGACAGCAACGTGCTCGCCTTCTCCCGCTTACCGTAGTAGATGCGCTCGATGCCGACGATGATCGGCGTGCACAGAATCTTCAACACCTGGTACACACTGACGGAGTTTGTCAGGAGAGATAAGTTGTTGAAGACGACGTACCCGCAAAAGGCGCAGCTAATGGGCAGGACCTGGCGGATGGAGAGCCTCCTGGGTGTAAAGAGCCTCAGACCGTAGGCGAAAAAGACACAGCCCGCAAAGGTCATGATGAAGTGGATGATGGTTAGCACCGTGCTAAACCGAAATCCGGCCTCCATGAACACGAGCTTTTTGTTGACGATGATGACACCGATGCTGCTCGTAATGTTCAGCAGCAGGCTGAAGAGGAGGGATGTGGTAATCATGATTGTTCGATCATCAACGCGGCCGTCTTTGCGAAGAGGAGAAAACGAGGTCCACGACTTGGAAGAAGCAATTACACTAAGAATAAAAGGAGAGGTCAAGTGAAATGGCCATACATCAAATACGCTGCATGTGGACAACAAAAACGGAGGGAAAGAGAGGGAGTGTGTGTGCCGGATGTCCCACCCAGAAGAGTTGATCGCGAGTGCAAAAAGTTAGAATAAACCAGAGAGAAAAAAAAAAGCTGCAAGAAACGATACGCACGAAGGACGAGGATGCAGACGAGATAGCAGAAAAGAGTAGGGTGGTAAAAGCGCAGATTACGGAGAAGAGACGAGAGCGGCGAAGACCAGAGAGAAAACAAAAAAAAAAAGAAAGAGAGCTCGACAATAACAAGAAGTCAAGAATGCGTGTGGAGTGGAAAACAAAAACGTCAAACCTTGAGCCTCAACGCAACAAAATGCCGAGCCAAAGTTATCGCAACGCTTCCCAGCAGTCGCTTAAAAAACAAAATAGTTAGTTATAATAGTGTCTCCAATACGAAAAACGACGGTTCTTGTACTAATTTGATGTGATGCCGAACGATTGTTTGCTTTCTGTGGAAAGGTCGGTGCGTACACTTCACGCGATGTGATGCCGCAGAGATGAACGTCGGCGGCGAGAGCGCAGAGAGGGGGAAGGGGAATGTTTCCTTTCAGCAAACAGCGAAGAGGGCAGAGGCAACAACGGAAGAGGTTCAAGAAAAAACAAAGAAGTGTGCAGAGACGGCAGCAACACGCGTAGCGAAAGAGGCGCACCACTTCACAGATGCACTTCTCAGTGTACATCGGTAAGGAATAAAACACTTTCCTCAATCGTTTGCTGAACATAACTTCATAAAAAGAAAAGCTAGCCATTTTTCTAACATCACGCGTCCGCTCACGTGTCCTTTAAAAGAAGAAAAAAAGAGAACAGATTTTTTTCCGTTGTCGTTGCTGCTTCGCAAAGCAGCTGATCGTGTTCTGCGCAATTGTAATAAAAGTGGATCTATAAAAATAATAAAGGTCCACCACCCAGCCGAAGCTGACGGTGTACCATCTACAAAGCAAGACAAAGAGCTGCCAAAGGAGGCCACCGCTATAAAAGATCGCAGCAGTCGCGTCTCCATCTCTGGAACCACACAAACACAAACATGCGGCAGGAAGGGTATGCGCAACAGCGGTGAATGGCAATCCGACTATCACTGAAAACAAAAATACAAACCACGTTGGTTGAACCAACATCCAGCCGAAGCATTTCCTCCATCATGAGAACCGCTCTTCCTTTCTTCACTTTCCTTCTTTCTCTCTCCAATCACGCTCGCAGCTGACGGGGCGAGTTGTCTTCCAAAACGCTTCGTCCTGGTCCGCCGTGACGCCCGCTGATGGGGGAGCGGACGGGTGTTGTGCCGCTGCTTGCCGGCACAGTCATCGCCGAGTTATACGGCGCGATGCGGCTGACATGCGCCTTCTCTTCCTCTACGCGGTGCACCCAACGCTCGCGCTCGCGCTCCACGACCTCGTCCAGGTCGCGCAACTTTCGCGTCAGGACCGTGTTGCGGTCTTTGCAGGCCGCGACCTCCGTCATGGCCTCCTCAATCCCCGACTGCATATGCGCCAGCGCTGACGCACGACGCTGCATGAGCTGCTTGAAGTAGACCTCGTTTTTCATGAAGGCGTCCACGGCGGCGCTTGGGTTCTCGAGTAGGTGGCGGCTGATGGGTCCGGTGGCCTGCTGGGCGGGTGTCAGCGGATGAGACCCGGCTGTGCCCGCCATCGTTGCTTTGCTGTCGTGCATCCGTGGGGAGTTGGTGGGGGCGGTGGCGGCAGCGGTGGAGAGACCGCCGTTGGGGCTGCGAGACGCAGCACGCGGAGACGGACTCTGCGTCCGCTGCACCACCGCACTGCGGTTCCCCACGTCCAGCGAGGTCGATGACGGCGTCCCTTTCGGCCCTGCAGCCGCCGCCGTCGACGTGTCGCCCCGCGCCCCGCGGCGTGGGGTATCGACGGGAGACGAGGCGAACGCGGCGGAGGGGGCGGTACCGCCGTCGTGGTGCTCGCCCGTCGTCTCCAGCAGCTCCATCGCCTCCGTTGCTGTCAGCTCGCGCAGGTAGGAAGTCGGCACGAAGCCGCGGCGACGGGCGTCGGTGGCCACCTCCAGCTTGATCCACCCGTCTTGGGCGACGCCTTCCGTGGAGCACAGCACCTCGCCCTTGTGGACGGAGAGTTCGACGTCCTCCTCTGCGCGGAAGTCGTGGGCGGGAATGAAGTACTTCATGCCTCTAATGCCGCTGCAGTTCGGTTTTCCACTATGGAGGGAAGCAGTACCTCTATGTACGAGAAACACACGCGAATCGATTCGGTTTTGTGCTGTAGACGGCGATCTTGCTCTCCAACTTTACGTGTTCAGCCAAACTAAAAAAAGTGAAACGACAGGGAAGGAGATGGAGGACGAAAAGCGGAAGGAAAAGTGTGGAAGATGAAAAAACAAAAGCAGCAGAGTTTTGGCTTGGAGAATACGCCAGGCGGAGACCGCGTTCGTGCAATCGAATACGCACTACGAGCTGCACTGTGAAAATGGGCCGAAAGAGGAAATGGAGACGGCTTCACGCCGCATGATTATCCCTGTGCGCTCACTCCACAACGCAAAAAGCAAGTGTGCCCCAGTTAGCCTTCACTTTTTCATCATCATTACGTTTCCCCCTGTCGTACGAAATAACAACAAGTATCGGCGACGCGGCAAGTGTCAGTTGAGCAGTGTGTCGAAGGGCGCCATCGGCGCATTAGGTCTTCAACGTACACGCTGACACAGCAATCGAAGTAGAGAAACAAAAGAAGACACACAAACAAACGCAGTCAAAATCAACGAAAACAATTCCAAAGCGTCAGAATAGATACACAAGAAGTCAAAAAAAAAGGCCGTTGTGTGCACAAGAGCTCGGTGATTCCATTTTTTAAAAAATGTATCTGATAAAACATGAAAGGACACCGAGCACTGTCGCTCGCAAGTAGCAAGGAGGAAGGAAAAAGAGAATACATTCCAGAAACAAAAGAGGAAAGAAAAACGTTTTACACGGCAGAAAAACAATAAAAATAGCGATTAGATCCATTTGAAATAAAAAGAAAGAACGCCTACATATGTGTGCAATTTACATCGAAATATGTACGAGAGAAACGCTTGAATGAGCTTTACAGAACGCTTTTGGGTGGTGACGTTGCTGTGTAACGTCACCCTGTTTTAACACAAATATGCAGTGTGCGAAAAGGCATGCGTGGGAATACCTCGACGCAGCAAACAGTTTGCGCTGATCATGCTTCCTGTTCGTTGAGCCTTATCAAGGAGTCCACAGTGGAGGAAGACCTGCTGCGTCGCCAGTGCGTCCGCTGCTTCGTCCGCGATGCACGGAGGACCTTTCACGACCTTTACTGCGTGTCTTTGCTCGCCGCGCCGCCTCCGGACCAGCGACAACGGGCGCCTCTGAAGCGGCACGGTAGTGATCCAACACCTGTGCCTGATGATCGAGCACAAAGAGGCAGCGAAGCGCGTTGGACATGGCCGGGTCCGCCCAGTCCCACATAGTTACCGTGTCGAGGGAGTCCGGCGTGGGTTTGACCCGTTGCGTGAAGGAATGCGGCGGCGGTGGCGGCAGCAGCGGAGACGGTGTCACCCCTCTCGAAGCGGACGTGATGACAGGAGCGGAAAGCACCGTTGTGGACGCGTTAGAAAGGGGGGTGGATCGCGGATAGTCTCGGGCAGAGCTGCCGGTTATGGATGGCGGGGCAGATGTGGTGACGGCAGCGGAGGCGGCAATGATGGAGTCGGAGTGGAGCAGCGACCGCCGCCGGCCCTTCGTGACACACGCCTGCCACTGCCGGTCCTCACTTGTCAGCCCTTGCGTGCGTTGCCACGGATGTGGGACGCCACGGATTCCAGCACCGCTTTTTGCTGCAGGTGCGGACGCAACCGACAAGGTGGTTGATCTCTCAAGCGGCCCCGCCGGCACGGCTGCGCCGGTGTGGCCCGTCTCCACCCGCTTCAGACCCGGCAGAGACGGCAGACGGCAGTGACGCCCCTGCCATCGGGCGTACTGCGTAGACGCTTCGTTTACGCGATCGCGGTGCTCACGGTTGCGTCGCGTGCACGCCGCCACCGCCTCTAGGACCACGTTGCCCACCGTGTAGGGGAGCTCGCAGTTCATGAGGGAAGTCGTGTTGGCCGCCGCGGCAGCGATGACACGCCCGCCCGTGGCCGAGAAGGACGTGCCAACCAGACGGATCGACTCCACCTCCGTCTCGCGCAGGATGCGCGCCACCGTCTCGGCACTCGCGTCGGTCAGCCCGCTGTTCCGGCTGAGGTCGACGAATGTTAAGCGCGGCATCGAGATGAGCGCGAGACCAAAGTAAAAGCAAAAGTCTTTGTCCTGCAGTCCGCAGTGTTGGGCCTCGAGAGAGGTGAGGTAGGGATGGCGCTTGAGGAGGCCGCACAGCTCCGACAGCGCCTCGTTGCTGAGGAGGTTGTCCGACACGCACAGGTGAATGTACAGGTCATTGTGGCGCAGAAAGTTGCGAAGGGACTCGATAACGGGCGCCGTCAAGCCGCCGCGCTGGTCGCGAAGGTCGATGCAGCGCCGACTCCTGTCCACCACCTGATCAGACAGTTTCACAGACATGATGATGACGAAGAGAAGAAGAAAATAAACGTTCCGCGTCCCTCTGACAGCTTCGATCGTTCCATTAAAAAAAAAACAAGGGGAAACCAAAAGTAAAGCAACACAGCAGCCGGTGATGTGAAGAGGTGACCGTAAGACGAAAGAGAAGTAATTCGCTCAAGAAGAAAAAAGAAGAGAGAGGAAAGCGTGACGTCAATGGAGAGAATTGGCATCCGGCTGAAGAGAGGCGACTCCAGCAAACGCATCCCATTTGCAACGCCAAGCAGCTGAGTGTTAAGGGACCCCCCTCCCCCTCCCTCCCCTTGAGATTACTTGAGATTCACCCAACACAGCGAATGCAAAAGCTCCCAGAAGCACTTCTGGCCGTTACCGCAATGACGCAACTTCATTTCTGTTTTGAGTTTCAAAGTACAGATTCTTTTGTGCGATGATCTTTGCTTTCAAGAGACAGCAAAAGCTGCGCATGTCTTTGATTTTATTGTCGTTGTTGTGAGCATTCTTTTTTCTTCTTTCTTCCCTCTTTTGCCTCACCGCGACAGCACACATCTTTGTCACGTTGCGCACTCCTCTCCCCGGAGGGGGGGGGGGGGCACACACGTCTCCAGCCGATGGTAGAACGGTGCTAAGGCAGAAGGACACGAAAAAAAAGTCCATGATTGCAGTCGCAAACCGGCAAAGCAAGAGAAAGCCATGGCGAGGAATCGACTGCACCGTGGAAGATAATTTGAGAAGAAGAAAACTCCGAACAACAGAAGCAGAAGTGATCGACTGCTTTTCTACAGAGTACCTCCCCCCGTCTTGGCTCTTTGAAACTGTTGCTTGAATGCAGGGGAGGGGGGAGAAAAAAGAGTCACATCGCGAGAGACGGAGCTATGGAGAAGCTAAGAGCAGCAGAAACAGAAAGTAGAAGGTCTAGATCAGAGTTATACATAGAGTCATTAATCAGCAACAACAGACGTCGGCTTTCACTTAAGAATGCTGACAAAAGAGACAAGAAAAAAAAAACTTTTTTATTTACAAAGCAAAACGACACTTTTCGTCTCTTCAAAGGAGAAAAAGAGAACAGAACAGAAGAAACGAGGCGAGAAAGAAGATCGAATCCGGACGCCACCCATGTACGTTGTATGGTGTTCCTGCACAATAATAGCGGCGTTTTGCGTCACGGGTGAATACCTTCAAGAAGATGCAGCTGAGAAAAAAAAAAAACAATTAATTGTACACAAGACACCGCCATTTCTTTTTCCTCGTTTGCGCAGCGAAGCGAAGAGAAAGCAAAGGGAGGAACTCGCAGAAAGGAACGCGTGGAAATGAGGCAAGATAACGACTTGCGAACGCGAAATTCGAAAAGGATGTCACCGTGGTCCACAAACAGCCTGGCCGCATTGTGCAGTAGCAGTGAAGCACCGGCTGAACTGCGACATCCTCGCAAGATCAGGAGCCCACGTTTTCTGCCTATAACTCCTCCTCCTCCTCCCCCGCGTCACCGGTTCGCACATTCCGTGGCAACTTCAATTCGGCGTACGTGTCGAAGGTCCCCGCCGGCTCTGAGCCCTGTGAGTCACGGCGCAGGGAGGGCGAAGATCCGCGCAGCGGGGACGTCTGCGCTCGCTCCTCTCTCCCCGCATCCTTCTCCGCTGGTTTACTTTTAGGCTTCCTATCGGCAATTAAACTAGGACGCTGCCGACCATTGCGCAGCTGCTGTTGACGTTGCAGAAACATCGCCGCTTCCTCGGAGTGGAGCTGACTGATCTTACGTCGCAGCGCGGGTGCCAGCACGGCGTTGGTGGGAAGCTGAGAAGGTGAGTGCGGGACGAAGAAGTCGTCTGGCTCGTCCTCCTCCATCTCGCCCTTTTCGGACCCTGCGCTGTTTCCACCGATCTCCGCGCGGTGCGGTGTGTGCGTCGCGCCGGCGAAGGCGACCTCCTCCACCTCGATGGTGTGCGACTCCATCTCTTCCCCTCGTCCCGCGTGCACCTCGTCCTGTACTTCCAAGTGCTCGGCATCGGAGCTGAACCGTCTTTGGCCTGCGCCGCCTCCCCCACCGCTCCCACCAAACTCCACGGGGACGGAGAGCGCAAAAAACTCCCACAAGTTCTCCGCCTGGCTCGCCGTGATGATCTGCGCCTCAACAAACTGTCGCAGATGCAGAAACTCGATCGGCACCGGCGCCCCATCGCCGTAATCGGGAAGCCCCAGCGTGATTTGCCGAGTGGTGAGGGAGGCCAGCTTGAGCGAGTCATCTGCCGAAATGACGGTGTGAACGGAGTTTTGTCGCACGGCTTCGTGCGGCAGTGGGTCCGACTGCGCCGTCGATGCCGCCGTCCGCTTCGCGGCGGTCAGTTGTTCCGTCGACACCGCGGCCAGCGCGGGGGACGCCTTCGGCTGCACCGGCGGCAGCGGCGTGCGCGGGGACGGCGGGTGGAGCAGGCCGCCAAAGTACGACGAGGCGTCCTCCGGGGCGGTGATCGGGCGAAAGGTTTCGCGGTTGAAGATGCGCGTCTGGGAGAAGTCGACCTTTTCTAAACGAGTGGGCCGCGCCGGGAGGGCGTTCTCGCCGCGGTTGCCGCCATTCTCCACCCGCCGCTGCCGTATCCCGCCGACGCCACGTGGCGCTTTTCCGGGCGGGTACGCCGGCGGGTCTGGGGCGGTTTCCGCGCGCCGCGGCGCCTTGCCCTGTGCCTCATCGGCCCTGTTGTTCGCCAGCTTAGCGCCCGCCTCTTGCCGGGCTTTGCGCAGTTCCGCCTTCAGCTGCTTTACCTGCTGGGCCCAGCCCTTCTCCCGCTCCGCCTGCTTCCGTGCCTGCTCAGAGGCAGAGACGTCGTTCAGCGGTGACGCACCAGGCGGGAAGAGGGCGCGGTCTTTTGGGGTGCTGTTCGTGCGACGCCGCGGCGCACCACCAGCACCGGCACCGCTCTCGCGAATGGGCGTCTGGGCGTCTAAAATGGCCGACATCTCAATCACGTCGGAGTCGCGCCGGCCGTTCAGCGGGGGGAGGATCCCGCCAGCGGGCCGCGCAGACGGCCGCGCACCCCGGGCACTGTCGAGCGGGGTGCTAAGCCGGCCAGCCTTACCACCGCGCGGCGACACCGGCACGGCGCGGTCTCGCAGTGCGCTACCTGGGCTGCCGGGCGGGGGCAGCAACGGCGTCCGCGGCGAGCGCATTCCCATCGAGTCGGAGATGCGGCTGGTAGAGAGGGAGCGCTTCGGTGAGACCAACCGAGGCGGGTGCGGGGGCTTCAGACGCGACAGGGGGGACCGCACATCCGGACCAGCACCAGCGGCACTGGGCAGCGCATTGCCTTGACTCAACTTGTAAATCAGCTCGACCGGCAAGGACTGGGTGTCGTAACCGCCTTCGTCTCCACTTCCAGCACCACCAGCGCCCCCCCTCTCACGAGAGGCGCCGCGACTCGGCTGACTCCCGCCACTGCCTACGCGTTCACGGGTGACCGTCGTCGGGCTGCAAACGTTGCTGCCACCGCCACCGCCATTACCAGCTCGTTTGCCTAGTCTGAAATCAGCGGGGAGGGAGTTAGTCTGGTACTCTCCTCGACCAGCAGCCGCGGGAGCAGTGGGGCTCCCCTTGCGCCTCCGGCGATTGCTGCTGCTGCCGCCACCCCCTGCCTCGCGAGCGCTGTCACGTGAAGACGGTGTGCGCCGCACCGGAACGGGTCCATCCGGCTTCTTTTCTTTGATGTTGGAGGAAGGTACGGAAGGGCCTCCGTCGTCCTTGCTGCCGGTCCGCGCGCGACTTTCAGCAGAGGAGGGCTGCAGTGTTTCCTTCAGTTGTCGGACTGTTTTGTCCGTTACCTCGAAGGTGCCCTGCCCTTCCTTGAAGGAGAAGGTGTAGCGAGTGGGCTCGAGACCGCTGGAAGGGCCCGCATGCGTGCCGGATGAAGGTGGGGGCGAAGGGACAAGGGGGGCCGGAGACGGTCCCGCCGGGCTGGCGTCCAAACTCGAATTCGTGCCTCGAGCCGTTTCTCCTTCCGAAGACGACGACGGTGCGGATGTCAAGCTGCCTCTGTTGGCTGATTTCTTCTCCTTTCGTCCTTTCGCCCGGTGCGCCTCGACTTTGAGTCGCTCCGCTTCGAATACCTGCTGGTCGAGTGCGTCTTTCAAGGTTTTTTGATTTGCCTTCTTGGCCAGCGCTTCCCTAAGCTTGTCCTCCGTCACCACCACCGGGCGAGAAAAGATGAAGTGTTCGTCCATGTTTTCCTTCGTTGGGGAGTGTCTGGTAGGTGAGGGAGAGTCAAGCAAGGAAGAAACAAATATAAGATTTTTCAACAGAACGGAAGCAGATGCGCCAGAACAACAAAAAAGAAGAGAAAGAGCACGCTCGTCAAAGCGTGTGGTCAGCGTGTGCGTGGTGCTCGCGGATAGCTACGGTGTGTGTGTTTCCTAACGCACGCACCAGAGCCGCGAGAGAGAAAAGGAAAAAAGGGCAAAATGGGAGCGAAGAAGACACCTCAGCTTTTTTGGGGGACTAATCTACAGAAAACGAAAGAACAGCGAAAAAAAAATAAGGTTCCTTTTTTCTTTAATTCATGCAGGTGACCGACAATGGCTGCAAACGGCTGCGGGACGAGAAGCGTGCGTGTATGTAAGAGAGAGAGACTATTGCTCCTCTGCCGCCGCTCACGATATGTAACCCGCCGCCCTGCTGACCCTCTGTTTCCAAGGTATCCTTTCGAGTTTTTCTTCTTTGTATCTACAACGTCGTCAAATACTGTGGGTTTTTTTTTTGGCGGCGGGAGAAGCCGCGGCAAGGTACAGCGTGTCTCACAGTGGTAACTTTGTTTGCCCGTATAGATATGTGCGCGTCGTGAGACTTCTCTACGCGCGTAAGGATACAGACGAGAGACAAAAGGGGGAACGTTAGTAATACGCTGTGCTGTCATCGGTTCTTTTCAAAGAGATCTTCATTAAGTTCTTTTGTACCGATGGCAGTGGGCGGCAAAACGAAAAAAAAAAATAATAACAACAACATGTTTCTGCCTTCTTGAACCGGCATCGTTTGCCGACGTACGAGCGGGCTCACAGCGAAGGTGCTGTCGAAGCAGCCTTGCGTCAGTCACTGCGTATCACTTGCAGCGGGAAACAAAGAACGTACATTCTTTCTTTTCCTTTTCTTTCGAAGTGCATCGAAGGACTATTCAAAGAGAAGCGTTTCAATTCACTTTTCTCAAGCAAGCACTCCAGATCTGATATATGTATCTGTATGTGTACATTGTAGTAGCAGCACTTCGGCGACGTTGGACCACATGAAACCCCCGCTTTTTTTTTAATGCATCCTTTTCGGTGCAAATCAGCAAGGCTTACGACTTCAGCCACTCCTTCATGAGCGCGTTGTACGCCTGATCCCGCTGCAAAAAGCTGGTCAGGGAAATCGTCTCATTCAAGTGCGTCTTGATCTCTAGTGCGTTTTCGAACATTTTGACCGACTTGGACTTCACAACATCTTTGATTTCATCGTACTCGATCGAGAACTTGGCAGCGGAGACGGTGCTCTGGAAGCACAGCCAGTGCGTGGTGATGAAGACGTAGCCGGGCGTCGGCATCGACGTCTTCATCCAGGCACAGTTGTAGCCCTCCACCACCGTCTCGGCCGCCAGCTCGGGAAACGACCTGCGAAAGAGGCCCTCGATGTTGTTGCGCACCGCCTCGGTCACGCCCGTGAGGTCCATCAACGCGCCGCCCACAGCACGACCAGCCGTGAAGGGCGCCATCAACACCTCCATGCCGCCCTGCATGGCCCCGCGGGCCACACCACCAAACGAAATCCCGCTGTTCTCCGCCGGCTGGTCCAGCGAAGCGAGCTGCACCGGCGGCTGAAAGGTGGTCGAGATGGTGCGGTCACGCCCTTTGTAAAGCTCCACGGCGGGCGCACGGGACGGCTTCACGCGTGACAGCGCTGCCTTCACCTCCGCCTCGGACACCTCTGGAAAGCCCTGCTGCGCAAAGCCGCTGCGCGAGAAGCTGAGGATGGCGGCCTGCTTCTGCGTGGGAACCTCGATGCTGCGCACGTCGGAGTGCACGACGCACGTCACCTTCGCGTACTGCGGTACAGTGTCGACGAGGGTAATCATGTGCACCACCTCATCCCGCACCCCGTCCATGTTGAGAGAGTCGTGGATGATGGCGGTGGGGCCGAGCCGCGGCGGCTGACGCATGAGGGCGTACATCGTGTAGAGCCGTCGCTCGTTGTCCTCGCTGCTGCCGATGCTCCACGCGCAGGGCGGCAGGTCGGACAAATTTGCCGCACTCGATCCGTTCACCTCCCCGTTCGGCGAGGTGAACGGGTCGACCTCCGCGCAGTCCGTCTCGAGCACGTCGCACAGAAAGTCCGCCTGCGTCTCCTCATCCGCGCGCAAGTAGCACTTGAAGATGAAGTGAGCAAGGCTGCCGGGGCGGGCAAGTCGGATGTAGTAGGTCGACACCGGCTCGTCAAAGGAGAAGGACGCGATTTGACTAAAAACGTTGGGGCGGGAGCCAAGCACGACGGAGCCGAGAGCCGCCTCCACGGTGGATGTCACCGTGAGATACGGCGGCTCGGACTGCGCTAAGGCGTCGAGCTCCTCTGCCGTCAGCTGCGGCGCCGTATCCGCTGGCGTCGTCGCCGGACTCGGCGTATTCCTCTGCGTTCGCTTTGGCGCGGCGGTTTGTGCGCCGGACTCGGCCGCCGCCGCCAGCGCCGCCATCGTGTCTTCTGTGCTATACCGGCTGGAGACGCTGTAGGGGTCGCTCCCCGACTGCCCGGCGGACACCGAAGACTCCGCGTTTTCCTGCAGCGGGGAGCCGCTGTTTGACACCACCGCTATTGAAGGGACGAGTGCGGCGGCGGCAGCGGCGGCCTTTTTCTTGCCGGGCTTCTTCTTTGACCCAGCTGCGTCGCCTCCCCCGTCCTCGCGTCGAACGCCACCGTCGCCCAACAAGCTTTGCTTTTTGTGCTGACCGGTGCGGGTAGTCGGCCCGGTGAGATCGTTGAGGTGGTTGTTCGCCGTCTCTGGCGTTAACGGTGGCGGCGGCGGTGGGGAGACGGCGAGTGAACTCGTCGACGCTTTCGGTGCCACGCCGGCAGTCGGTGAGACGGCTGGTCGCGGGGTGGCGGGGGCGGACTCGCGGTAGAAGGCAGCCTTACCCCGCACAAAGCCCTGCAAGCCTGTCGACCACCCCGCGTTCATTTCTGCGTAAAAGGAGTTCATTTGAGTGACGAAGGTGCTAAAGAAGTTCAGCAGCAGCGCTGGAGCGGCCTCGACGCTGGTTTCTAGCACCGGTGTCATGGCCTCCCCCATGCTCACTAAGTCCTTCAGACAGTCTGACAAGGATGCGCTGGCGTGGAGGGTGACGGCGCTGAGCAGATTCGCCGCGCCGAGCAGCTCCGCGGTGGGTTCGGTGCTGAGTTGAACGCCATCCCTCAGCTCGTTGGACATCTTGGAGAGTTCATCACTGATGCCGCGAGTGTGGGCGGCGATGCTTTGCACCTGCTGAACAAAGCTTTTTTGGATCACCGCAGGACTTGGGTTTGTCTTGCTCATCGCAGCCGTCAAAACAGCCAGATCGGCTTGGCAGCTATACAACAGAGGAAAGAGGACAGAAAAGAAAAAGAGAAGAACAGAGAAAAACGCACCGAGGCGTGCGTTCCCGTGGTGCGTTGTTAATATAGACGAACGCGTCAACCGCCGCGAAAGAAGGCTTTTCAAAGAAAAAAAAACAAATACGACACGGCAAAAAGAGCTAAGGAAAACGCAAACAAAGAAATACCGTAGAAGGAGATTCTTATAAGAGAGAGAGAGAGGTGTTTCTTTATCAATGTACAGCAAACACGTAAAAAAGGGGGAAAAAACAAGAGCAGGGTGCGACAAGACTATTCAACGTTTCCGGACGAGCTGCCCTCGTGGTGTAATTAGCTGTCTCCGCCGTTCCCAAAGCTTGTCGTTTTTCCAAGAATTTGCGGCAACAAAACAAACGAAGCCACCGACAAGAAAAAGAGAAGAGCCTTCGGTGCTTGTGAAAAATGTTGTGTGTTTTATTGGCCGAATTTGAGCCCAGAGTTGTACGTCTCCTCCTTCTTTCTGTGTGTGTGTGTGTGCGGGTGTGCGAGTGTCAACTCCCTGTTCATTCGGCCGAGATCGTACTAATTTTGAGAGAGGGGCGAGGTGAACCGCGTATCTCTCGCGCGGTTGGTAACAGCTGCTTTGCACTATGATGAGACGGTTTCTGCGCTTTGCCTTCGAAGAATCACGCAACGTGGGTCAGCTTCCACAAACGAAGAATTCACAGGTGTGTGCGTGTGTGTGCCCGTGCGTGTTTGAGCGGCACAGGAAACCCATACAAAAGAAAAGGCACTGCTTTGGTCCAAGAGTGGGAGAGAGGAAGAGAGAGAGAACAAAAGTGGTGAGAAAGCTGTACGTACTCGCAAGGTGACACAACCACAGATGCACATCCCACCTGCCCAGAAAAACAAAAGAAAAGAAAAGCGAGTTCCAACGTCGGCTCTCCGTGACTCTTTCCTCCATTTCTGCTGCTGTGATTTTCACTTCGTCGCTCCTCTCGAAGGCCTCCACCCATCTTTCCGCGCGCAGCCCGTATTGTCAAACTCCTCTTGTGTTCCTTTTACAATACTTATCTTTTCGATAGGGCACCGAGCAAAGCAAAAGAAAGAACCGAAACGAAAGGTGAGAAAAGTCCAAGCAGCCCAGCAGCGCTTTAATACGCAGCAATGCGCCTTCATGAAAGACAGCGTCATCAGCATCATTCAACAAAGCTCAGAGCTGTGCCGCTGCCTCAACAAATCCAAAGACATCCGTAAAATGCACAGGAGAGAAGAGCAGCAAATAAAGCTTCCCAAAAATGCATTCACAAAAAAGGCGAGACGCGAACAAGCATTTTTGTCGCAAACACGGAATATGTTCCTCTCCCTCCCCTCCACACTTACTGACTCGCCCCCTTCACCCCGTTTTCGTAGATCATCAAGAAAAAGTTGTTCATCGAAGCAACAGCAGCTTTGCCTTCGGCCACGGACTCTACACGCGCGAGAAGAGCCGCAGCTGCGGCGCGAGTATCGGACGATGGATGCGTCAGCTGCATCCCCACCGCGTTCAACCCACCGACGGCGAGCGCCATGCGGCGCAGAAATAGCTTCACATCGTAGGGAGACTCCAACAAGTGCAATAAAGCCGTCAGCGTCCGTTGCACTGGCGTTTCGCCGGAGGCACAGTGACGCAAGGCTGCGCAGTTGAGCAGCAGCGCCGGGCTCTCCTTTGGGTGCAGCACCTGCGTGCTCACATTGTCCAGCATGGCGGTCAGCATCATCTCCTGCCGCAGCACACCAAGTGAGCGATGCGCAAAGACAGGGTAGAGTGAGGTAGGCACAGCGATGTTGCCACCCGTCACGTAGCCCACCATGACCATCGTGTAAAGAAAGTCTTCCAGGACAAGACGTAGCCGTCGGTTGCGCTCCGCGGCGCTCACGCGCAGTGCACGCAGGTGGTAGACGCTGTTCACAAGTTTCTTGTAGAGCCGCTGCAGCGGCGGAGGGAGGCTGCGGAGGGCCTCCGCCTCGGCACCGCCGCCGCCGACACCCACCGCATTCGCCAAGCCGGCCGTGGCGGTGGCCCAGTTGCCTGCCGCCGAGGTGGACGACCCGATCTGCCGGCGCAGCGTCCGCTCCGCCGCGGTCATGACGGTTTTGTTGTCCAGGTCGCACAGCAGGTCCCAGCCCCACGGTGAGGCGTTCTCGAAGATGGGGTTGAGGGTGCCCACGACGTAGCCGGGGACGTGCTGGAAGTGGTCCACGCTGCTCACCGAGACGTAGGGAAACACCTTCTTTGCGATGAAGCTGCTGTCGAGCAGGGTGCCGATGATCCCGAGTGACAGCGCCACCTCGCACACGTCGGTGGCCTCACCTTTGCGCGACAAAATGAGGATCTTCTTCTCGGTCAGAATGCCAAGGATTAGTTGCAGGGAGGACGGCCCGAGCACCTCAATCAGGGTCTCAATGCTGTACTTGGTGAAGGCGATGTCACTTGACTCGGGGGACAGCGGAATCTTCGCCTTGATGGTTGTGCCAAAAGGGGCATCGTTGTAGTACACGTAGGCCTGTTGTCCGCTGCCGATGGCGCAGTACTTGCCGATCTCCGCGGTGAGTTGATCCACCTTGGCTCGCCCCGCCGCCACGACGCCTGCCGCGTTGTTGATGGAGTCGTAGCAACGCTTCAGAATGCGCTGCAACTCCCGCAGCGCCTCCTCGTTCGTTCCACTCACGTCGCAACAGTACTGCGCGGCGGCCACCAGGACCGGGAAGAACGGCTCCAGCCACACCAGGGAGGGCCCCAGCACGGCAACGCTCTTCGTGATGCCGCCGCGGCGGGCGGTGCTGTCGCGTTTCGAGACAACGGCGCAGAGGCCGAACAGCACTGGCCCACTCGCCGCCGCCGTCCCCGACTCGCCATCGGTTGATTTGCCAGAGCCCATCGTTGCCTGACCCAGCGGGGCGGCAGACGAGTCCGCAAATCGCCGTGCCCCTTGCAGCACCCCCGAAGCAGCGGTGACGTCGCTGCCGTTACTGTGCACGCTGTCGGCGCGTGGTAGAAGCAGATGCACCGTGTTTTCCTCGGAGGTGGGCGGCGTCAATCGGTTCACTGCAGCGGCGACGGGAACAGTTGGCGGTGTGGAGGCGTCGGCGTCAAAGCGAGCTCCCGGGGAGGGCGGTGTAACGGAGGCCGGCAGCCACATCCCGCCGCGGTTGTCGGAGTCGCCGCTGTTGGAGTCGACGCGGCTCAATGACGTAACGGGTGTCCGCACCGAGTCTCCAACGCTTTCAGCGGGCGGGGAGTGGAGCGCGTCGGACACCGTGGCCGGGTTTCCTCCTCTCTCGGCTTGCGGGTCCGGGTTGAGAGCACCACCTGGGACACCACTCCCTCCTCGGTGTGCGGCATGTGCTGCATTCGCCCCAGACTGTGGCGGTGGTGGCGGTGCCGTCGTAGCCGCCTCAGCAGACGCTGATTTACCCGCCCCTTCCAGCATCGCCATCATCTCGCGCAGCAGCCGCTCAAACTGTGAAACACGCATGAGGTACCCCTCATGGCGACTATCGGTGTAGGCAATCACAACAAACGCGTAGTCAGACGTGCTGCTGTTGTGGCGGCTGCTGTTTCCCCCACCAGGAGATAAAGAAAGCGAGGCTGAAGCGGCGGGAACCGCGGCAAAGTTGCCAGCGCCGCCGCCGTCTCCAATGACCGAGTCGCCTCCGCCGGCAGCAAAAGAGGCTGTGCGGCTGCCGGCCAGCATGCCTTCGTTCATCAGCATCGCCTCCAGCTGCTTCGAAAAGCGCACCACGTCAGCCGGCAGACTTGGAAGGGAAGAGATGTTTTCGATGGGGAGGACCATCGCGGCCTCGATTTCGGTGTCCTTGTACCGCAACGAAACCGCCCTGGTGGAGGTGTTGATGAGCAGCATCTCCGGCACGTACAGCGCGGTCTCTTCGCCCGGCGCGCGGCACCAGTGACACGCCGCATCCGCCCCGCCAGAGACAGGAGGAAGAGGAGGGCTGTGGGGAGAGCGCTGGCCGGCCGCTTCGGCGCTCGCACGCACGAAGCGGTACACCGGGAAGCGCAGAAACACCGCCGGCTGTGGTCGGTTCACAACAAAGACGGTGCGGGTCACACTCACCTTCTCCGCGCCATCGGGCAGCATCACATTCGCGAAGTACTCCGTGTGGCCGGCGATGCCCGGCGGCACGGCGGCCTCCACCGAGTCGGCGGTGGGGGGGTGCGGGGACGTGGGGGAAGAGGAAGCGGCCGGCGCGGCGCGCGGGTAGCACGCCCGCAGGCTCGCGCCTGTGTCGATGTCAAACTCCGCGATTATGAGGCTCGTGGCCAGCAGCGGGGCTGCGTTCGTCGACGACACGGGAGGCATGAAAGCACGAGGAAGGAGACGCTGAAGGTTCGTTACGTACGATTCACAAGTCCGTGACGCCTCGATGTAAATGAGCGACAAGAAACACACACAAGGTCTTTTTTTTTAGTGGTGAGAAAGCAGACGGTGTATGTTGCGCTACTTCAAACCTCACGAGGGTGTAGGGACAGGCTATTGCGCTCGCCAATTCTCTCGTTACCGCGGTGTCTACGCAGGTGCGCAAGACCGAAGATGGAATCCCGCACGTCACGTCCGTGCGTATGCTCGACAGCGCGTCAACAGAAAAAACAACAGGAGATAACAACTAATTTGATCCGTACACACTAAGAAGCAGAGAGAACGTAGAGAAAGATCAAGAAGATTACATAGCAGCTTACCCACATAGACATGGTCTTCACACCTCCCTCCCAGAAAAAAAAAGCGAAACAGCGGTATTCTCTGAAAGACAATAGACTGAGAAACCGGCGGTTTTTCGATCCGCTGGGTTTCTTTTTCAACTGCACCTTTGTGTACGACATGCCCATAGTCCAGGGGGTGCATTCTCTTCCTCGCCTTCACCACATTGGGTTGGAGAGCAAGCGTCACGTGTGCGAGCCAAAGCCGCACGACCTTCCTTTCACGCTTGGTAGCCCCGCGCAGGACGACAACGGCGCAGGTCAACTGGATTGCGGGGGCATTCATGACGCAATACCTTTTTCTTTTTAGTACCAACAGTATCGGACTCACGCGCTAATTAAAGAAACAAAAACAAAAACAAAAACAAAAACATTAAATACGTTAACCAACACACACACGCACACACACAAGAAAAACATCGGAAGCACAGTGAAACACATAAAGCACCGCGGAACACAACGCAGACGAAGAGAAATGGAGAAAAAAAGAGAGGGAAAGAGAGGCAGCATCGAACAAAAAAGAAAACGCGCAACAACGCTGAGAGGTTTGTCACTTTTTCTTTTCTCCGACAGTATAGAAGAACAGAAAAAGGGAAAAGAAAAGCCTCGTTCCTCAGCGAAACAAGTAGGAAAAGCGTTGTCGCTCGCTTGATGTTTCTGCGCAGGTGAATATATTGTTGTGATTATTGAAGGCTGAGACGACCATCACTCTTTATCCCGTCCTTCAGCAAACACAATCCTGCGATTTGAAAACCTTCACTCACGTCGTGTTACTGTGTTGCTTTTGCTTCGTCTCCTCTCACCTCTTCACCTCCCACCTTCTTACGCGTCGTCGTTAGGGTTCTGGAACATGAGGTTCTGGAACTTCATCATCAGACTCATCACATCCGGGTCGCCGAGGTACTTCTGGAAGGCGCCGTAGCCGTTCATCTGCACATCCTGCATGATGCCCGCCAGCTTCGGGTTCTTGCGTACCTCCTCCTCCTGCAGTTTCTCAATGGCAGCGCGGTTCACCTTGCCGAAAGGCGTCACGACGTTGCCCTCCTCGTCGACGTTGCGCATGCCCATGTCCGCGCCGAGCCGGTTCAGCGCCGCGGGGTCCATGCCGCCCTGGCTGAACTTGCCGGCCATGTTCGACACGAGGTTGCTAAACTCCGGGTTCTGCATCATTCGCTGGGCCGTCTCCATAAACTGCGGGTTGTTCATCATGTTCGCGAATTGGCTCATGTCCGGCATGCCGCCCGCGCCACCCATGCCAGGGAAGCCGCCGGCACCGGCGCCGGCGCCAGCCGTGGTGAGGCCGGTCGCCTTCGCCTTCTCCTCCGCCCGCTTCAGGTCCTCCTTGTAGGTGTTGTTGTCCGGGTCCAGCTCGCACGCTTTGTTGAAGGCGTCGACGGCGCGGGCGTAGTTCTCCTGGTAGAAGAGCGCTGTGCCGAGGCGGGAATACGACTTGGAGTAGTCGGGGTTGATGATGATGGCCCGCTCGCAGTCAATAACGGCGTCGTTGTAGCCCTTCAGATGGGTGTGGGCGGCGGCCCGGTTGGCGAAGAAGATGGCGTTCTCCGGCTCCAGCTCAATCGCCTTGGTGTAGTAGGCAATCGCCTCCTTGTACTTGGCCTGGCTCATCAGCTCGTTGCCCTTGTTCTTGATCTGCTCCGCCGTGAGGCCCTCGTACGGGTTGTTGCGCTGGTTGAACTTCTCGCGGGCCTTGTCGAGGCGCTGCTTGTACTCCTCGGAGTCCTTCTCGACGCCTTTGAAGTAGCCCTTCTTCTCCAGTAGTTCCACGAAGGCGACGAACTTCTCGTCCTGCTCGGCGCCGTTACGGCTCTCGTGGTCGCGCAGGGCGGTGCGGAACGCCTCGAGTACGTCTACGCCGGTGTCGTAGAGGCCGCCAGTGCCGGCGGGGTCTACGCCGAACTCCTCGCCTAACATCTGCGCGACGGCCTCGGCGCGATCGGGGTTCTCTACGGCCGTCTGCCGCATCATGCGGATGAAGGAGAAGACCAGCTTCTTGTGGTCCTCCGTGATGGGGTGCGCGGTCTCTTCCATGGTCGACGGTGACAATTAACTGCGGAAAAACAATTGGTAGTGCTGAGGAGGTGTGTGGAGGTGCGCGTATTTTGGGGTGTGTTGCAACAGTGAACGTCGAAGAAAGTTACGTAAATGGTGATCAGCAGACGTGGGGGAAAGAAGCGGATGAACGACAAAAGGACAAGCAGGAGAAAAAAAAATCAGGTGCAGCGAACTCCAAAGTCTGGATTTGCGTTGGCGTCGTACGCAAGGTTGCTATGAGCAGCACGCCACAACGAAATGCGTCATCTAGTTGATGGAGCGGGCCGCCTGCCTCTGCGCCGCCGCAATCAAAAGCGTTTACACAGCTCCCCCCGTCCCATGGCTCCCGATATATCATCAGTTGGAGGCTCTTTGAGTTTGTTTGATTAGGTGAAATAAGAGGCAAAAGCTCCTCTACAGCGTGTAACACAAACTCGAGTTGACCGCCGCCTAACGAGCACACGGCGCACCGCCCTCTCACCAACGACCAGCACCGACAAAGGGTGCGTCTGTGTTCTTCCAATAGAAAGGCAAAAAGAGGTCAGTTGGGGCTAAAAAAAGGAGGCTGCACACCTTCGCACACCCGGGACACTCCTTGATCATACGTAGCACGTACCTTTTCTTTCTTACTGCGCGGCGACCTTGCGTTGCTCCAGTACTCGTCTTGCCATATGACGCTTGAACTCCTCAGCGTCCATGCCGTACTTCGCCAACACCGCGTCCAGTTCCTCCTCGCTCGCCGCCTTCTTCACCTCCGCGCGGGCCACCTCCGCTAGCGCCTTGGCCTGTTGATCCAACACAAAGTTTTTTTGAATCTCCTTCTGTCGCACCAGCAGATGACGGCGAATGCGCTCGCCGTAGGTGGACCGCAGCTCCTGTCCAGGGCGCTTCAGAATAAAGTTGTCAAACCCGCCGTCCTTCTCGATCTCAAAGGTTGCGGCCTCCACCATGGGCACCTGCACCCAGTGGTCTAAGATATCGCTGTAGTGGATGCCGGTCTTCACGTAGGGGTATTTCAGCTGCCGGTAGACGTGCTGCACCTGTCGCGAGGTCCGCACCCGCTCGCGCACGCGCTCGTTCAGCCAAATCACGTCCATCTCATGTGGTGCCTTGGGAAGGAAGCTGCGCGGCGAGACGTCACTCATGCGGTAGAGGGCGTGGCGATTGACCCGGTTGCACCACGCCGCCCACGGAGGCAGACCCATTGAGACATAGCGATTGATGAGGCCACGCGGGGGGCCGTGCGGTGCCCGTGACGTTTCCGGGTTCAGCGCGAAGGTGGAGAAGCGCAGCAGCGACGACTGACGCAGCATTTGATCTCTCTCTGTGCGCCTTCCTTCCTATCCCAAATGTGTTGAGCTGTGCAACAAATTTATGAAGAATTACCGCAAAGGAAAGACGAAAACGTAAAAGGGCAGTGAAGGGGAGCAGGGAGGCGAGAGCCGACGAAGAAGAACCGAGTTGGCTTTCCGAACGAGACGCGGCTCTCGCCCTGCTTAGCAGGGGGATAAAGGAGTACTGTGCCGCGGCGGATGCACCCGACGTGACGGATACAGCGCTTAAAAAACAATAATCATAGACTATGACAAAGCAGCTGCTCCGCATTTAGAAAGCATTTCTCCACCTCGCGACATTGCAAAGGGGTGACTATTCATTCACTCTTGTGTTCGCTCCTTCTCTTTGTCCTTTATAAAACGCGGTAGAGGCCATCAAAAAAAAAAAACCAGCGTTCGTAAATCTTCTTGGAAGCCTTTGCAAGCGCCAGCATTTGCGCAAAAACAAACCTCCAAAAATGATAGCGCCAAGGAGGCGAGAACGGCGTTTACAAACAAGAAATGCGGGTGAATAAAGCATCGATAAAGGGGGGGGGGGGGGTCGTGTC